CGAGCCGCCAGGCGCCCGCACCCGAGGCTGGCCGAGAGCGGTGCGGAGTCTGATGCGTGGGCTCCGTGGGCACAGGCCGCCAGCACCGGCGTCTGTCAGCGGCCACGGTTGCAGCCGGTCTCAGTTCTGCGAGAGACTCGACCCGACACGGGTGCAGAACCTGAGCGACACATCAGTGCCGTGTCTCGCCTGCTCCACCTGCCGGCAGACCACACGCGGCAGAGCGCCCCACGGTCGCGGGGGCCGAGGTGACACCGCGGAGGCCTGCGTCCTTCTCCTGGGATTGGGGCCGCGCGTGCCGGCACCGCGCTTCGTGGCCGACGGGGAGACACGTGTGAGACACGCGCCTCGGGGAAGCCACCAACCAGCCCTGCAGTGAGCCCACGCGTGGTTGAACAGAGATAAGCGGCAGAATGGCTAACGTGGCCACGCATTAGTTCGTGACGTTTATTAAAACTTTTATATGAGAAACTTTCCTATGTTAAAAAAAAAAAAACCTACAACAGCGCTGTAAAAACTTCTGCCTCCTACTTCCTGCCGCGGCTTGAACCTGACTTTGGAGCGGCCTCCGTGCCTGGCTCAGAGCGGGACGCGCCAGGCGCGGGGCTCAGGCCAGGACACGCAAAGGCCGTGTCGGCACGAATTGCACCTGTGAAGCCCCTGGGCGAACACGCGTCTCAAAACAAAACAATTAGGAAAATTAAACGCTCGACCTTGATCCGCGCCCTGTCCTCACGGAGCTGTCTCCGCGTCGTGACGAAGATCACACCGGGCAGGGGTCGGCACGGCCGCTCACGTGTACGGACTGGGTCAGAGGACCCGAGATGGCCCTCCAGCCGCAGCCCCGGGGGGGCTGGCCGACGGGGCCCGCGGCGTCCCCCTCGGTGACCCGGGACGCGGAAGGAGTACCTGCAGCGTGTAGCCGGCCTCGCACTGGAAGGACAGCACGTCGTTGGCCAGGTACCGGTCGCCCGTCCTGATGCCGTGGCTGGGGAGGGCGGGCTCCTGGCACGCCGACAGCCCCACCGCTGTGGGAGGCAAAGGGACACTTAGCAGCCGCGCCACACGGACGAGCCTCCCGCTCGACCCCTCCGGCAGGCAGCACAGACGTTCACTGTCCTCGTGTCACACCGAAAACATTTTAGGTGACGTCACGTCAGACAGCAGCTCGTTCTTAAATGTTTACTTTGATGTTTATTTCTTTTTATTCCATTTCTTTTTAAATATTGTTTGTTATTTCTTCAGATAAAATGTGTTACTTCCACATTTAATGTAAAAGACTTCAATTCTAAAGCGTACGCAATTCGAGCCTCAGGAATTATGTCTCTTAGTATATGACTCTGCTGTCTGGTTTTTTGTTTCTCATACTTAGCAGTCTTCACGAAAAATGTTAAGTGTGAACCTGGGAAATTCTACTCTTTCAGAGAAACATGAGAACAAATATTTCATATTCAAGATCTCTCTTCTCTCCTTCCCTCTCTCTTAAAAATTTCAAAAAACATTCTCGCGAACAGTCTATTCTTGGGAACACAGGACCGATACTTACAGAGCCCAAGGCCAGACCAAGCACTTCCCTAGACGGACTTGCCTTCAGTTACGACACTAACATTCAAAACACATATCACAGAGCACGGGAATTCTGCCGAAAACATCAGATAAATGGATCCTAAGTGCTGTTTAACACTGATAGTGACATATGTCAACTCTCGTCACACCAATAAACAAATATGCAGAAATGGCATTTCAGAGACTCGGCAGGCGTTGGAAATGGTGCCGAGGACTTGGCGGCGTGAATAACCTCTTCCGCCGTTTCGGAGGGTCCCTCCTCACGCCCAGGTGCCCTGGGTTACCGGCGAGGCTGACGGCGTCTGCGGCCTTGGACTTGCACCTCGTTCCCGTCCCCAGCACCAGCGGACCCATCACTGACCGCATCAGCTCACTGCCTGGGGCGCCCCAGTAGGCGTGGGCGGGGAGGGGTGAGACTCGGGGGATCTGGAGACAAGCCCGGGGGGAGCGGGGAGGACGGGCCACCCAGCTGCTCCGACGCGGGTCCCAGCGCAGACGGGGGCGCGCT